TATGGGCAGTTGAATGTCCTCCTGACTCTATCCTGTCTCTGTCTTTTCTTTGGTCTCTTTACATTTTTCTTTATAAATTAATTTTATTTAAATTGAAAACAGTCTTATTTTATATACCAATCCCAGCTCCCTCTCCCTCCCATCCTCGTCCTCCCTCCCATTACCTTCACCAACTCCCCCATTCTACTCCCCCCCATCCACTTCTCAGGGAGAGTGAGGCCTCCCATGGGGGGAATCATAAAAGTCTGTCACATCATTTGGGGCAGGACCTAGGCCCTCCCCCCCCCACCCTGCTACCCCCCCCGCTACCCCCCCCCCCGTGTATCTAGGCTGAGAGAGTATCCCTCCATAGGGAATGGGTTCCTGAAGCCCTTTTGTGAACTAGGGATAAATACTGGTTTGACTGCCAGAGGTCCCATAGACTGCCTAGGCACTCCAAAATGACACCCATGTTCAGGGGGCCTGGTTCGGTCTTACGCTGGTTCCCCAGTTGTCAGATTGGGGTCTGTGAGCTCCCACTTGCTCAGGTCAGCTATTTCAGTGGGTTTCCCCAGAAATGGTCTTCACCCCTTTGCTTATCACTCCTCCCTCCCTGCAACTGGATTCCAGGAGTTGGACTTAGTGCTTAGCTGTGGATCTCTGCTTCTGCTTCCATCAACTACTGGATGAAGGCTCTATGTTGACATTTAAGGTAGTCATCAATCTCATTATAGGGGAAGGACATTTAAGGGAGCCTCTCCACTATTGCTTAGATTCTTAGTTGGGGTCATCCTTGTGGATCTCTGGAGATTTCTCTAGTGCCAGATTTCTTATTAAGCCCATAATGGCTCCCTCTTTTAAGGAATTTCTTTCCTTTTTCTCCTTCTCTGTTCTTACCACATCAACCTTCCTGATCCCTTGTATCTTTAAAATTTTCTACCTGCCATTCCAAAATTCACACTCCTCCTTCCAAGCATGGACCAGACGGACTAGCCAGCAGGATGGGACAGAAGCCCCCCAAAATTGGGTTACTACATACCCAATGTGTTGGAATGAATACTGGGTCCACAGATTGGGATATGCAGGTTTCCCACCCCTAGAGAAATTTAAATTAAGATAAGTTGTACCTTCTTGATATAGCTCCTGGATTTGGCACAGTAGGAACTTGCTAGGAGGTGATAAGAAGGCCTCTGGAAAGATGAGAAAATCTCAGCTTGTGTATAATATCATGATGCAGGCCCCAGAGGAGTGCATAGATTTTCAATATGTAGTGGTGCTAGCATTCACACTGATACCATTTTTGGAATCTGCTCCATTCAACTCTTATCCATGAGGAGGGGAGATACCCTCCGTCAGTCTGTGGAGCTGGGTGACAGGTGACAGAGTATTCCATTTTCCGTTTGTACACCGCTGTCTCCAATCTCTGTATTTTACCAGGTTCTAGTTTATCTCCCACATACTTCTGGTGTTCTCCTACAGTCATTCCACTCAAATGCAGCTCTACCCCTGTTACTTTGGTTTTCCTTTGTGGAACAAAGGTACGCTCTTGGTACTTCTACAAATCTGTAAATGGCAAGGTCAAGAATTTCTAGGAAACCTACTTTGTTTTCTTTTCCTAGAAGAAGTAAATTAGAGTGAGTCTGATGCAATTAATTTTATTGAGAAATAATAGGAACTATCATTATTATTATTATATATGCAGTTGGTTGAATTGATAATTATTCACAGAAATAATATGATGTAATTAATAGAAAACAATAACACATAACATTTAATTACATACTCATTAAAATTTAGTTAGTTTAAAGGGACCATCAGAAAATCTATTCACCAAAGGCGTGGGTTTTTCATTTGAATTGGAGGTTTGAATTAGAAGCTTCATGGAGATTCGTGAGAGATGAGGTGGAAAGACACAGAAATCCTTCAATAGTAGTCTCAAGAACTCAGATTTTGAAGTTATCCAAGACATGGAGGAAAACACGATTTTAGAGAGCAGATGCTGCTGCCACAGGCAGGATAGGATGGAAAGGGAGCATCTGGAGACGAAGTTCAAGCCTGAGTAACCAGTCACAGGACCATAACTGTCTAGTCTCTGGATGTCTGAAGACCACTGGAAACAGTCTATGCATTTTTAAAAAAGAAGTCATAGTGCTCTGTAAATGAACAGGGAAAGCAGCAACTGAAGAGTAAGAGCCACAAGTGACAGAGAACAAGGGGGCAGCACTGCCATCATAAAGAGTATGAGGCAGAGAGCCAATGCTGGAGAGGATGCTCAAGAGAGGCAAAAACAAGCAACAGGTTGAGTTGAGTCAGATGAACGATGTAGACATGCCAGCAGTACATAGGTAAAGTCAAGATGCAGCTACAGAAAAGTGATGTTCAACACACAGTAGGTCATAAAAGGACAGTGTGGAAAACCAGGAGAGCAATGGTAGCCTCCTTCCTGGAATATGATGACAAAATAGCCTTTGCACTTAAACTCTTCTGTTCCCTTAGGCTCTCATTATATGGATCCTAATACTAATCCTGTCATATCAACATAAAAAGCAAGAATTAAAAATACAAATTCAAGATAAGCCAAAGTACAATTTTTTCCTCTTTAGATCTAGGTATTTCTTTTGAACTGAAATAAAATATTCCACATTTAATTAAGAATATACTTAGCAGCAGATTCATCACTGAACAAGCTTATCACAAAGCTTGTTTACCTAGGTAGAGCATGGCACACTTAAGATCGTCAATACATTTTAAGGGAGCTATTTCAACTTGTAGAACTATATAAATACATATGTGAAAAATGTATCACATTTTTAGAAATCTGGTAAGTATACTGACTTTACTAAAAGGAAAATGAAACTAGTAATTTGCAAAACATTAAATTCTGGGAAATGTACACATTTCTTCTGGAAAATGTACCTGTTGAGTCCTGCATAGAATAGAATATATGGAACACTCTGTACTGGGTTGGAAAGAACTGAATTCAGGAGAGTCAGACATTCCTAGAGAAAACCTTAAGACAAAATGAACTCTAGAACTGAGAACCAGCCTAGTAGAATGTTAGTTTAGCATGTACAGGGTCTTGCAATTCTATTAACAATGGCTACAATTAAGAAGCAAGGAAATCTTCAATTTCCTTACTTTGATATTATTAATATTTTAAAAATTGAGTTCAGCTTTTCAATTATAGGGAAATAAAATAAAAAAGATGCAATGATGGAAAGGTAGGAGAAGAAAGTTGCAAACAGACCAATATATATGGTTGTCTTTATTAGCATTTGAGGGACTGTTTTGAGTTAAGCCCACTGTGGGTAGTACAATTCCCTGGACAAGTGGTCCAGAGCTGTATAAGGAATCTAGCTGAGCAAGTGAAAGAACCAGAGACCCAGGCAGCAAGCAAGTTATTGCACTGACTTCCTTTAATGGTGGGATATGACTTGGAAGTGTAATATGAAATAAACCCTTTCATCTCCTAAGTTTCTCTTGGTCAGAATGTTTAATCACAGCAACAGAAAGCATCAGAATCAAAGGGGGAAATAAAAATTCATAAAATAATTTAAGGTAAATAGTATTTATTGTCATTCAAATGGAATTTAACTAGAGAGTTACAAAACTGGATATTCAAGGCTGTTCCTTCATAAATGAGACCTATATATGTGATTTATTTATGAATAAATTTCCAGGAAAATAATAATGTGCAGAACAGTGCATGCTAACGGGCTAAGAAAATGTGTTGTCAATCAACAGTTTCCCCAAAGAAAACATGTATGTTGTTCCATTCTAATTAAGTATTAGATTTGTTACAGAAGTCTCAGAAACGTGAGTGGGACAAGCTGTGGGGAGGTTTGAGTACAGTGTAATGCCCAAGACTGATTCAAGAGCTAACAGTGAATCATTCTAGATTTTCCTGCAGGAAACTAACTTCAGAATATTTAGACACAGTGTCCTCATTATGGCAAACAAACCACTGGATTAAATGAAACTTTGCAGATGTAGTTTACATTGTCATCCATTCTGTAGGCATTATGATTGGCATGTAATATGGTTAAATGTTTAAATGATGAAAAGCTTGTTCTTTGCTTTTTTAAAATCTGCCTGGACAGTTAACAATATACCCTTTAGTGAAGTTATATAAGACATTTAATTTGAACATGTTGAAAATTATTGCAAAAATGATCAATTAAATGAACATGTTGTGTTAGAGACTGGATTGTACCCTATCAAAACTGAATGGTTAAGTAGTTTTCAGAGCTGTGAGAGTTAAGTTCCCATTGTTGAAGCCTCTCAGGGTATGTGACAGATGTGTTTATTCTTTTTCCATTCTTCCCCCCCCCCAAATATTTTTTTGGCTCTTTTACATGTAAAAGGCAACCTAGAGAGGGCCATAAAGGGTAGTTTAGCATTGTGAGTTGCCACATTTATTATATAATTTGTTCCAGGTAGAAATGTGCGATATAATCACCTGTAAGTTGTGTTTCAAAGCAACTTTATTGAGAAAAAGATGATAGAAAAAGTACACAATTTGTAATTCACAATTAATAGTCTTCTAATAGTATATGTACAACTAAACATGTTAACCACAGTGGACAAGGAAAATAACAGTCCTTGATAACTTTTCTTACGGATAATCAATAATTTAATTTTTTATTGTCACAATTTAACATAATTATCTAGCTACATGACCAGTGTCACTACATATCACAGGAAAGATTGTCCACCCACACATTACTGAGACAAAGACAACAGCTATTAATGTGTTAAATGTACAACAGGATGTTAAGAGGGGTATTACCTCATATATAAGACAAGATGTGGCATGTAGTTTAGTAGAAGATTTGATTTAGTATACAATATGCCAGGAAGTAAGCATAGACATGTTTTGGCATTGAATTATTAAAATAGAAAATAAGAAAATTAGAGAAATAAATCCAGATTTTAACTTACAATAGATACATTAAAATAGGAAATTAATTAGATATTTAGTATTTTTTGATTTTTTTCTTTCCTTTGTTTTTTCATTGTTTTGTGTTTTTCTATAAATGTGTGCTATGAATATATCACAAGTTAAGGAAAGATAATTAGCCAAAGAAGGTACCAGCATATGAAAAACAAATTAAAAAGTACCAGGTCTTTTTGCTTACAAAAAATTTGAACTGTAAAGTCACAAAATATATATAAAAATGCCACATTGAACGAGGCAATCATACTCTACCGAAACTGGTAGCATGCTCCCGAGGCCACTTGTCCCATTCTCCTGGTCATACGGTGGTCACCGACAGGAAAGCATTATGGACTCTCGTGCCATCTGGCGATTTGGCTCCATGGGTCATCAGTTCTTGGATTGTCATCCAGTTATCCAAAATTTTCTTGTTTCTCTTTTTCATCATCTTTTTGTGGCTCAGTTCAATGATGCTCAGCTCCTTCTTGCCTTCGCCACTGCTCTGTGGGCTTTCCTTCAAACACTCCAGCCGGCTCCTCATCATGAACTCCCTGCGCCTTCGTTGCTCCTTGGCCCGGACCAGGTGTTGCTTTCTCTCCTCTTTGCTCCAGTAGCGCCCCATCTTCATCTCGCTCATGGTGTCATCATCTGTGGTCATGCCACTCCGCTCCTCCTTGATCTTTAAGGCACGTTCCTTCAGAATTCGGTCTCGCACTGGTCTCTTGGTTATGTACCGGGTCCCATCACTCCTAATTTTTACCTTCCATTCCATCTTGGGCTCGGAGCCCTTTTGCGATTCCTTGCACATGCTCACCAAGCTGAGCTGACTCTGGGCATACTCTACGGCAGATTTCTGTTGAATTAACTGCATGTAGCTTTGATAATGCCGAGCATGTGCTGGGATGTTGGCATATCTGTAGGCAGAGCTGTGGTAGGGAGAGAGGTATGGAGTGCATTCATTGCCTGTGTTCTCCTGCTCCAGAACCTGGTGGTTTTCGAGACTCTTCTCCAGGGTTTCAATGCTGCATCCCTCGTTGGTGGCTTTGACATTGGTAGATGTGTATTCCTTGGTGCTAGGTCTGGAAGGGGACTGATGGGTTGTCATTGTGCGTCTCAGGTTTTTCTTATTGGCAAGGTTGATCATCCTTGGAAGGGAACTGTCAGGAGACCGGTCTATAGTTAGTGGAGTGCTTCTGCAGCTCTCGGCTGTATTGTATGCGCTTGAGCTGTCCTTGTCTGACTTTTCGGGATGTTCCATGATATCGTCCAGTTTCCCCCTTTGTGTATCCAGGCTGGTGTTATAATTTCGGAATCCTCCATCATGCAGTGCCCAGATGTCTCCATATTGGTCTGTCACTCTCTGGAGCCTGTGAGCCTGCATGATATTCTGGCACTCCAACTCAATGTTTCTTAGTTCTTCATTAAGCATCTGTAGCTCATGCTCCACCCCATCCTGCTCTCCTTGGTTGCATTCAATTGTGCTACTTGAGTAGTACAGGTCATAGTCTCCATGGTTTCGAATCTTCAGCTCCAATAACTGCTGGAATCCTTCACACACCTCATGGTTACTGACACAGTCAGAGTCCAAGCACTCTCCACCAGCTAAACTCTCATTGCACTGAAGCTCAAGGCTTCCTAGGGTGTCTTGGCTCTGCCCCAGCTCTCTCTTGCTTTTCAGAGATGTGCTGTGAGGGTCCTCAACAGCATTCTCCTGCTCTGAGCTCTCATCATTCCGCAAACTCTCGTCTGTGCGTCCCACTCCGCTATCCTTCTCCTGGTTGTTGGAAGAGGATGTTGCTGTGTCTGTTGTGCCCTCCTCTTCTTCCTGCTTCTTTGTCTGAAAATATAAGAAATCATTTTGAAAAAACCCAGCCTATTGTGCTCTTGCTTGAAAGGCAATGTTCTGCGGCTAAGGTGCAGTTCCTAGAAGCAGCTCTAACTGGACATGCATACTAATTTTAGAAATTGAGACAATTAGCTCATGACAGCTTTCTGTGCAGTGACATGGAGGGAATGAGCACTTTTTCATTCTACGTATGGTGCTCACTGGGCATAAACAAGGCAGCATACCTGGAAATGAGGGATATTTACCTTCAGGCTTTTCTCTCTGGGAGACCAAGGTGAAAATATACTTGAAGTGTCCCTGAACTTCCTGGGTGAAAATTCACAGAGTAACCAAACAATATCTACATGTTCTTTGGTGACTTGGTGATCTAGTGCTTGGGTGCCACAATTACATGACTATTGCTGCCTCTTGACTTCCTTAAATGGAGTAGAATAAAGTAGAAAGGACCGATTATCCAACAGTGATTTAGTGACATATTTAGTGATTGCTTAAAGCACTGCTTGTACTGCCCATTTGCCAAGCATGACTTTACTTGCTCGCTGATACAGGACAACATGGAGAATAGCTGGAGCATGGGCCATTATCCTAACAACCCACTGACTTCCCTATATGCTTCTGTAAAATCTCATTTGGTTGCCCATCCTACATTGTGGTTTTAGGGTATAGAATGAAAATATAAACTGAACCCAGGATCAAAGTCTTGCAGGAGCTGGCCTAGCTTTGGTCCACCAGTGATATATCCTTAATCACTGTCACTGGTGTCAGAGTGATAATTTTAGAAGGATTTCCACAACATATATTCAGAGGAAACTTTACTGAAGATAGTAAGGCTGGCATGACAAAATATTAGAGCCATGTTAGCATGCTGTGCTGGAACTCACAAGCTACATCTCTGTCTGTAGAGGAGGAAGCTCCACCCCAGACAAACCTAGGCTGTTAGTGACAGTGTGGGCTTTCCATCTCCTTTTTAGATATCTTCATTTGGCTTCTTACTTTTCTAGGTTCTAGTTGTGCTCTTCCCTGCAGTTTACAATAATTCTATCTCAAGGAGTGAGCATCTTTCTTTTTAAAAAGTTCCTAACATGTTTGGATTGCCTAGACACAATGGTGGCCATGTGTTTTTGATTCTTTCCCTACACACAAGGCTTACTCCTCAACCTCAAATCTAACTACTCAAGTAGACCCTATTTCAGCAGCAAAAAGCAATAGTACTTATCACTGAACTTTCAAGATCAAAGAATGAATAAAGATATAGGACTGAAATTACATCTGATCTGGATAATATATGGGTGTAATTTTCTTAACTAAAAAAGTTCTAAAGATATCTTCTGGGAAAAGAATTGAAGTCTTTCATTAGTGACTGACTATTGTAGATTAGAACAGGCTTTTTCAAGGATGGCTATGAGTAGAAGCTCCAGGTGGTTAGTACAATCATGTCATGTACTCAAGTTCCCTTGTCAAGAAAGTGATTACTCACACAGGATTGTGTAGCTGATGTTGAGGCACACTATTGAGTCAGAGAGTTTATGTGTAACATTCTCTTATCTTGTAAGGACTTGAGACAATGCAGAAAGGCTAGTAGTTTTCTTTATGTTAAGTTGAAAAGATAAAAACCATGCTGTGTAAATTACTGTGCAATGACTTCACAACAGCTGTCTAACCCAAGGCAGTATAGAAAGTTAAGCTTAGTATAAAGCAATCATTAATGTGCCTCTGAATTTAACTTGTTAAGTTGATTTTGCATTCATTGCCACTGGTCTATGAGAAACTATGAAAATGAAATTCTCCATTCAAATCCCAGAGTTCCTTGCAGTTAACATAATGTCTTGCAGTCATTTATCACTGCCCTCTAGAATGATGACTCTGACAGTGTTTCTGACAGGACATTTCTAATGCAATAGTATCGCTTATAGGGGCAAAAGATGTTTCAAAGGTTTCTGTACTTCTCATTGCCTTTTCAATCTTAGGGTGAAGAAAAATTTCCACACAATGAGTATCTAACCTCAGGGACATTTGGTGTTCCTTCACAAGCCCTCACATTTGTATTACATCTGATGAGTAGGCAGCATTTGGCACTGTATCACTTTCCCTAGACAGGATCCCTCCCTTACTTCTTTATTCCCACATCCCCTTGTCAATTCTGTATCGGGTTACATTTTGTATCAAAGAAAGAAAAAGCCTGGAGCAAGGGTTTTCTTGTTTGTAAGCAGCCACTGCTGCCAACAAAAGATATCTTTATTTGTGGCCTGTGTTGAAGTCATACATAAAAATTCCAACCCTATCTATACTGCAAAACAACTGCTAAGCAGCAGCATCACTTCTGAGCACTGACAAGGGGAGGTAACAATTGTTACTGGCAGTGTTGATGGTGGACTTTGCTGTTTCAGGGTGTAGCTACTACATTTTGTTTGAGATGATAGCATGAAAATGTGCTTCATTATTCAGTTTGGTGAGGTGTTAGAATATCTATGCTTCACAGGGTTAAACCTGTCAGGACTTAAAAAAAATCTGTTAGGATGAGTTAATAATTAATGTTGAGACTAGGATGATAATTAAACAAATTAATAAATTGACAGAAATGCTAACAAGATTATGTCAGGCAGATGAAGGCATGAATTAGAATAAAAATCTAGGTCATATAGTCTTGTTTTTTTATGTAGTGTGAAGATAACAAAAATAAGAGGACTCCTAGGCTCACTCTGCTCTAGCCTTGCTGTCATTTTCCCTCATTATGAATGCATTGAGGTCAGGAGCTCTCTTACTTTTAAACATCCTCAGCAGCAGGGGTGGTACTTGGACCACATAAAGACTTCAAATTTTTGTTGAATGAAAATGTGACCTTAAGACAACATAATGTCAATCACCTCAAATTATGTTGTACAACATGTATACAGCAGCCATGGGGCCAAAGATCACCTTTATGGTTGTTCAGGAGTACACAGATATGATTAACCCATGAAGTATACAACTCTTCACATCATATCTTCCTTAATTTGCATCACATTTATATTGTGACGTTCAGATTTCCAGTTTTTCCATGGTTGATAACTGGTTGTTCCTAGCTGGCATATCCAAATGCAGCACACATTTACTATTAGGTTTCTGCAAATTACATTGAAAACTACCTACTTCCTATTTAATGTTGCTGTATTAACAATAGTCCGTAGGCTTTCCAACCTGGAAATATTCTTAATAGACAAGATACATCTTCCTTCTGCTTCATTTGTGAAGACCATTTGGTCAAAAGGATTACCGTTACAGAGATGTTTGCTCAGAACCTTTGACTGTGTTTCCTTATCCATTAAAGAAAACTAGTGACATTTCCAAAGATGTCAATCAGCTTGGTGGCCCTACCTGCTGCAGCTCACTGGCTGTGTGCTGGACTCCTTCATTATGTTCTTCCTCCAGCATCTCTGAGTTTAACTCCTCCAAGAATTCATTCCTTTCATCTTCCAGCCAGCCTTCATCCAGCTGCAAAGGAACACATTAGTACATCACATGTTAGTGCTACACATTATGTTAGTGAGACCCATGCTTAAATGGGGTAAGCCTCAATGCGGATGGCCGACCAGCTCTCTTTATGGTGACTCTCTTCAGAGTGGCAGCCCCCTGTTGTCACCTCTCAGAAAGAAGAAAAGATGAGACAAAAAGGAAGAAAAGGATTCGTAGGCCTTTTATATCCTCTACTGAAACAGCTTTAGAGTTTTCTCTCTGAGTAAATCCCACAGCATAGAACATTACCTTCTTTCAAAACCCATGAAAAGCATACTGCATAACCCACAGCTGGCATGCTCATTATCTCCGGAGGCTCTGAGTTAAAAGAACTGCAGTGGTTCCTATAGGGCTATGAGACAATTGGGCTTTTACCCTTAACAACATCCCCCAGGGTGACTATATACAAAGTGCCTCCAACAAGCAGATTTTATCCTCATCTTGCCTTTTTTTTTTTAATTTGGGTGAATCAAGTTAGCAAGGTGTAAGTTTGTCATAAAGAAAATTTGATAGACAGCACTGATTTTATCTGTAAAAGAAGAGTAAAATATTAAAAAAAAAAAAAAAGCCTAAACCAAAAACTAGTAACAAATCACCCAGACTTTCTTTTTCTGTCATTGTGTGTGTGTGCACACACACACACATGCCTGTGTGTGTCCATGTGCCATGGGACCTGTAGGAAAGTCAGAGGACATCTTTCAGGAGTAGGTCATTTCTTGGCATCAGGTTGCTTCTGAGAATCAAACTCAAGTCATCAGGCTTAGTGGAAAGTGACTTTATCTACTTAACCATCTCATTGGTACCTGAGTTCTTTAGGGAAACAACAACAATATAAAAACAATCTTATCCATGCCTGTTTATTTACAGGGTTATGAGAATGACTCAAGGCCTCAGGCATGTTAAGCACATAGTGTACCATGGAGGACACCCTAGCTCCCATCATGTCTATTAGTCCTGAGCATCCTAGCCAATGTGGTATTTAAAGGTAATGGAGTGATGAACAGTTCTGTTTGTGGGCGATGGATGTAAATGTTCATGTCAGGCACTAGTTCAGCACTCACTCTAACAAATCCTGTTGGCTTCTTCAAACAAAGAGAAGTAGGAAGCCTGAGACAGCCATCCCAGTATGACTGCTGTTGCCTGCCAATGCAGATCATTGGCCTCTGTGTGGATTTCTGGAGCTGAAGTACATACATTAACTGTTTATGTTCATTAAATGACCTACGCTGACATCAAAACTCTGCTGTACTCTGTGCTACAAAAGGACAGTGGTTGCTGGTGTTTTCAATAAGAGACCTTTAAAGACCAATGGATGTCTTAAAACTTAAAACAAAATAAAAAACAAACCAAACTTGAAAATAGGACATTAATGGTACCACAAGCATTTACACACATACATGACAGTAACAGAAGGCAGATCAGGAGTTGACCTTTGTTTTGAGGAAACACCTGGGAGAGGGAAAAGCCACTGAGGAATTGCCTGCATCAGACTGGCACACTGGCCAGTGTATGGAGACATTCTTTGTAGTTGTTAATTGAGCTAGGAGGGCCCAGCCCACTGTGGGAGGTACCATCTCTAGGAGGGTGGGCCTATGTTTTATTAGGGAAGGTAGGTGAATGAGCCAGCATGCAGAATCCTCTATGGTCTCCTTTATAGCTCCTGCCTCCCAGATGCTGCCTTGAACTCTTGCGCTGGCATCCCTCAGTGATAGGGTAAAAGAAGCAAACAATCCTTCCCTTCCCAAATGGCTTTTGGTCAGGGTGTTTATCACAGCAACAGAAAGCAAACTAAAACACATGGATTCCATGGGGGGCCATTAAAGCCTACCCAGAACTTACATTACCTCAGATCTAACTGCATGCTAAAATGTGGGCAAAATTATGTCCTCATTGTTCTAAATGTGGCTGAGAAAGGTGTCCAGATGACTGTGCTAACTAAGAATTCTGTATTCCTTAGTCCTTTTAAAAAGAGCCATGAAGCTGCAGAATTCAACTCCAAACACAATTACCTTAAGCAAAGAATGTTTGCTTCTTAGAAATGCCACAAGGATGGTTTTCTTTAATCAGATCAAAGCTGGATACTTCCTAATTATACAGGAATAGTCTTCTGAGGACTCAATGGAGTGGGGAGGCTGAGAACAAAGTAGAAATGACTTCCTGTGACCAAGTCACCATCTATAGATGTGGTGATATTTTCTTTGTACTCTAACAAAGCTTGCCTGAAGATCAGAGGGCAGTGCTAACTACTAGCAACCATAGAGGTCTAAAAGTCTGTAAAGAAACAGACAGGAAGTGATGTTGCTGTGTGGAGAGAGGAATATAAGTTGGGAAGAAGCAGGAGCTCCATCTCTTTTTGGTCTGAGGATTTCTTAGAGGTAAGAACTCTAATGACTGGCTGATCTGCTTCTCTGATCTTTAAACTTTTATCCCCCTAATATCTGACTCTGGGTTTTTATTATTAAGACCTATTAGATATCATGCTAAATGTAGGCCCCTGTGTGTCTGTCTTGTAGGCTGGGGCACACAGCACTGTAGGAGCCAGAGGGCTTGCCCTCCCCTTCCACCCCCCCCCCCCGCCATGCACCTCTGCAATATTCATTCATCCACAGTCCATGTGCTACATGAGCTGAGCTGCAAGGATGGAAAGATCAGCTTCGAAGGAGAGGGCACAGTGTCTGCACAAAGTAGGTCATACATAGCACCACAGAGAAAGGACAGAGTACACCGTCTCAAAAGTAGTGGCTCCAAGTTTGTGTGAGAGCACTCGCTGCCCTCATCTCCCCAGGGGAACAGGATAGAAAAGCAATATCTTTAATGGTCTGAGGAAGAAAATGGGCAGGAAATGAAAGAAAGGTGACAGGGAATGAAGGAAATGAGTTATTTAAAAATATTGCACAGATGCACAATACTGCCCACAGCAAGCACATAGATCATTTCCAAGAGTCTGGAGAGCATTTGAAGCATTTTAAAATGTTAGGGAAAGCACACAGTGTGCTCCCTCATTCTCCCTGCTTAAACTACACCCTCACACAATGCAACAAGATAAGCTGAATTTGATAGACAAAGATAGCAAATGGGAAAACAGGATTCATCTTTTTTATTCTTTCTTGTAAATTCTATTTTAATTCATGGTGTTATGATGAATTTTTTGGGTGATTTCACTGGACATCCAATTGTCAAAGTCACTGAGTCTTTTCTAGTGATATATAGAACCTTTTTTTCAGGATCAAGAGTGGTTTGAGCTGGTGGCATGGTGTTCTGTGGCATCAGAGACTGTTATCAAACATGGAAAGAGTCTGATTTGATGATTCACACTCCAGCATTGAATCTTGCAGGGGAAATCTCAGGAGGGCAAGGCAGGTAGTCACCCTCTGCCAGGCAGGGGTGTCTGACAAACAGCAGGGTCCAGCCCTAAGCCATCAATATCTACACTTTCTGTTCCCCATTATGATGACACTGGAAAATGCTTCAGTTCTAAATTCATGATTTCCCCAGCAGCTACATGTGAGGAGAGGAATTGCCTTATACCAAACCTTTCTACAACAGGGGATGGCTATTCAATTCATTTCAACTTCCCATGAACTTAACTGGTGTGTGTGTGTGTGTGTGTGTGTGTATCCATTTTATTCTTTTCTTTCCTTCTTTTTTTTTTTTTTTTAAATGGGATAGGTGAGATAATTGGCTCAAGAATCTTCCAGATAATTGGTTCAATTTCAAATGTATTTTAAACATTCTTTCCTAGCAAGAAGGCGCCCCAGCCTGGCATATGGCCTCATTTCCCTCCACCAATACCTCAGGTGTGTAGCTTTACCCAGCTCCAGGCTACCCCAGACTTTATGAGAACCATTTAGAATGGTCAAGGGCATAAAGGAAATATATGCGGAAAGAGTGATCTTTTATAACTACTATATTCAAGTCAGGACCCAGCCTGACACTGAAATGCACTTACTCGGTGTAATTTATAGAGAGAACGTAGTTAGAGTCTGAAAAATATCAGATCAATAACCTAGGAGACAAGTGGTGACATAACTAACTTCCCTCACACTAGTGACAGGTGGATAAGACGGTGACAGTGCACTGTCCATTCTGCATTCGATGGGACAGGAAAAGGATGTGAAAAGAGACACGAGCTAAGTACCTTTCTCCCACTATTACCTCTCCTTTAGTCTGATGACATTGTCCTCCATCACGACAGAAACCTTTTCCTTTTGAAGCATCATTTTGGGCAGTAGAAAAAAATGTTTTTGTCACATTAATTATGGAAAAGCCTCTTGTCCTCCATGGAACTACACCAGAGATATTTCATTTGATAGTTATTTTAGGAGGATTTAAGATGATAGCTACATATGCTAATATCTTTTCTCATTAGAGAATCCTTCATGATGCTGTAATATGCCAATTATGTATTTTAGATGGAAGCCTAGAGGAAAGGTCTACACAGAATTTAAAATAATCTGAAGTCAACTATGTTTCACTTGTTAATTCATTTAAGAAACTATCAAGCAGAGGGATGGAGAGGATTTCATTCTGTGTGTTTTAAATTTTTCCCTAAAATTGGATGTTTAGCTGCCTTTCATGGAGTCTTTAGCAGAGTTTTGGGGGTGAGGTTAGGCAGTCACAATCAGCCTTGCAGTGTCCTTTGTCAATGTCACCTAGCAGGGATGCATACACATTCATTCATGAACTCAGTGAACATAAAGTCCAGGCTCAAGACCCCACTTCTGTGCCGGACCTGCATGTCGGGCCTGGCGATGAGTAGCACAACGCTCTTACACTCCTCACTAGACAGCAGAGCCACGGCTTCTTCCCGGTTCTGGATGTCTTCCCCATTTATCTAGAGAACAAACGAAAGTGACACATTAGTTTCTATTTCCACAATGCTGCACACAATAAATGGCAAATATCAGCTCATTTATGGTGAATGTATGGACAATGAAGCTCCCACGATGGGCTCATCTTTGCCTCTCTGTGGAAAGTGCCTTCACTCAATTACACGCGTGCTGTAAGAGCCATATCGATCCCTGAAGGATGGTGGACATCACAGGAAGCAGTTATGTTCATAAATGTCCAACCTGCGCCCTGGCAACATACATCTAGCAACACAATTAACCAGCCCCTGACAGGTGACGTTCATCTTTCTCCGCTCAGAGTAATGGAAGTGTCACTCTGAGATAATAGTGCTGGGGGAAGCGGCCAGCAGTTCCACAACCGAAATCCGTCATTCTGCACGCTCCCGGGAGCCAATTAGAGAGCTGCAGACTGCCCCTGAGCAGGCTGCGCACCCAGACTGCTGCTGACCTGGGCTCCGTTAATCACTTAGTATTTGTGTGGGAGCCTGATTCAGTTGTCTGAACATCACTCCAGCTATATCCCAAATGAGTCTAATCCAAAATGAGAGTAGCTTTTTGGGACCCTGCTCCCAGCACTTGATTCCTTCCAAGACCAACCCATTCCCTCTTTCAAAAAAAAAAAAAAAAAAAAAAAAAAAAAGGCAATATTTTAAGTATACTTGTAAATTTTAAAGATTGGCATCAAGTAAAATTGATTTTAAATAGTAAGGGAAATAAACCAACCTTTCATGAGCTTTTGATTGTGCAGAAAAAAGACTCCTACATCACCCAGACTTTATCATAGGTTTCTAAGAATAGAGTAAGTACACTTGAACTCCATTTAGTGTTCAGATGTTTTTATTTTTAATTTAGCATATTTTCCTTTGGATGCTTAAAAAATTCTTGTTTTATTGATTTCTCAAATTCATGGAGGTAGTATTTTTTATCTCTAGCATATTATCAAGATAAGTGGAAATTTCAAACAGAAAGCTGCTTAAATGAACACTAATTATGTAACTTAAATAGAACATGTGCCATGCTAGCCAGTATTTTTCCTCCAGTAGTTTCATGTTTTCCCTTGTGGGTCCCTGGGATTCTAGCTGATCCACATGGATAGACAGGGTTACCAGAAAACAAATAAGCAAGCAAGCAAACAAACAAAAATCAGCCGTAGAATCTCAGTTTGGAAAACAGAATAATCCTTACCCCTAAGCCCTTATTAGAGACACCTAGGAGAGCTGACGACCAGTGAAGAAAGCCACATAACCCACAGGCATTTCATACTCTGATCAAAACTGGTGCCACCTTCATTTCTTGCTTGCCTGTATGTAGAGGCCCCAATGCTCATGGGTTTCATGTGTATTCCTTCTTATTCCAAATCCTCAAATAAGCCTTGTCCAATTAGGTCTATGGTTTTAAAAGACTATGGCCTTTACTTCCATTGACCTACAGGCTTCTGGCCATTTCATGGCACTTCTTAGTTTATTTGCGACACATCTGTCTCACTCTAGAAATATTTGATTCTAAATGTCCTGTGATTTCTGACATGGCTAATCTCCATCTTTTCTTCCTTCCTTCCTTCCTTCCTTCCTTCCTTCCTTTCTTTTTTTTTTTTTTTTTTTTTTTTTTTTTTTTTGGCCTGGGATTTCATCCTCAATACTTGCCCCTCTAGTTTTCACTCAAACTTAGGCATATTCCCTTTCTTCACCCAGTCTCAGCTGCTATCAATCTGCTCCTCAATTCTACTTCCATACTGTTGCCTTGCTTACTCACTTAGACTAGATGCTCACAGTGGCTTTTTCAGGGGGTGTGGTAAAGGGCTTCACATGCTCCCATAGGTGCACTGTGTTGCATTACCCTCAACATAGACATACATACATACATACATACATACATGGCAAACTCTATCCTGATCAGAAAACATAGTCAAATCTACAAATACTTAAATCCATAATAGTAGGTCTGTTTTTGTCTAGACAGGTATTTATTTTAGATGTCGTTTTAACTCTTATGAAGGCACCAACACAGTGGCATGCTTGCTTTTCAGTCCCTCTGTAGTTGGCACTTAACTTTCTCCTTTGTAATCTCATAGTGGCCTGCATTGGGGCTTCCAGGATTGCCAGTAAACAAAAATCATTTGCTGTGGGAGACACCCATCATCAGGACCACACATGGGATGAAAGGAAGCCACCATAGAAATTTGCTATTGAAGACATAGAGCATCCCAGGCAGGAGATGGATTGCCAGCCCTTTCCCCTTCTTGAAGGACATTTGGCTTAAAGTAGGGATATTTTGGAGATTAAGTCCCCTGTCAGATGTGAGGTTGGTGAAGATCTTTTCCCATTCTGTAGGGAGCCATTTTGTCTTATTGACCATGTTCTTTGGTTTACAGAAGCTTCTTAGTTTCAGGAGGTCCCATTTATTAATTGTTGCTCTCACTCAGTGTCTGTGCTACTGGTGTTTTTGTTTTTGTTTCTTTTCTTTTCTTTTTTTTTTTTTTATTTAGGAAGTGGTAGCCTGTGCCTATGCATTCAAGTGTATTTCTCACTTTCTCTTCTACAAGCTTCAGTATGGACGGATTTATATTGAGGCCTTTGATCCATTTGGACTTGACTTTTGTGCATGGCAATAGTATGGATCTATTTACATTCTTCTACATGTTGGCAGCCAGTTATACCAGCACCATTTGTTGAATATGTTTTCTTTTTTCCGTTTTATATTTTATATTCTTTGTCAAAAATTAGGTGTTCATAGGAGTGAATTGATATTAGGGTCTTTGAATCTATTCCATTGGTCCACCTGTCTTGTTTTATGCAATTTTCAAGATGTTTTCATTATTATAACTCTATAGAAGAGCTTGAAAGTGATAGTTGATTTCCCCAGATGATCCTTTATTGTACAGGACAGTTTTGGCTATCCTGATTTTTTTGTTTGTTTTTCCATTTGAAGTTAAGCATTGTTTTTTCAAGGTCTATGAAGAATTGTGCTGGGATTTTGATGGGGATTGCATTGAATCTACTTTTGGTAGGATTGCCATTATATACAAAGAAACTAGACATCAAACTGCCAAATAATCCAATTTAAAAATCCAATTTAAAAATGGGGTAGAGATCTAAACAGAATTTTCAACAGAACAATTGCAAATGGTAGAAAAACACTTAAGAACATGTTCAGCATCCTTAGTCAAATCAAAACCTCTCTAAGATTCCATCTTACACCAATCAGAATGGCTAAGATCAAAAACACCAATAACAGCTTATGCTAGAAAAGATGGAGAAAGGGGAACACTGCTCATTGCTGGTGGGAATACAAACTTGTATAGCCACTTTAGAAACCAGTATGGAAATTTCTCAGAAAATTAGGGATCAACCAACCTCAAGACCCTGTAATACCACTGTTGGGCATATACCCAAAAGAGGCACATTCACACTACAAAGATACTTGCTCAACTATGTTCATAGCAACATTATTCATAATAGCCTGATCTTGGAAACAACCTTAGATGCCCCTCAACTGAAGAGTGGATAAAGAAAATATGGTATATTTACACAGTGGAGTACTACTCAGTGGTAAGAAACAATGATATCCTAAAATTTGCAGCAAATGGACAGAACTAGAAAAAATCATCCTCAGTGAGTTGCCCCAAACCAGAAAGACAATATAGTATGTACTCATTCACAAGTGGAATCAAGACATAAAGTAAAAGATACCTAGTCTGTAATCCACAACTCCAGAGTTGCTAGAACCCTCTTCCAGAAACAGATGGAAGCAGATGCAGAAATCCACAACTAACCAATGGGCCAAGCTCTTGGTGTACAATCAAAGTGAGGGAGGAATAAATATACGAACAAAGGAGTCAAGACCATGGTGGGGAAATCCACAGAACCAGCTACCCAAGCTAGGGACAGATTACTGATTCAAGTCTGACAAATGGGGACCCTGATTAAGACTGAACTACACTTCCTTAATATAAGTGACAATGGTGTGAGTGTGAGGTCACTGGCAGTGGGTCCAAAATCTAACTCTAATGCACAAACTGACTTAGTGGAGCCCATTCTCTATGGAGAGATACCTTGCTCAGCCTAGACACGGGAGAGGGGGATGGAGAGGTGCCTCAACTAGATGATGGGACAGACCTTACCTTGTCCAAGGAGCAGATGGGAGGGGGGCAGAGGGAAGAGTGGGAGGAAAGGAGGGATTGGAATGTAAAAAAAAAATATTTAGAAAAAGAAGGGAGAAGAGCCTCAAGAAAAACAATATGTAGATTTTGTTCTAAATGAGGTTAATCTTGGTAGATAATAGATGTAGACCTTGTATTTATTTTCTGTGCATAAAAATCCATAAATAATTCATTTCAAAATGAGTATTGTTGGGGCAGGGGAAAGTAGATATGGTTTTGTGTTGGGTGAGATACACGAATCAAAAAAATCTCACCTTAGGCCCAGATCTCCTAAAAGGTGGGTAGCATGTGAGGGAGGTTTATAAATGGAATAATACAGTTTTTATATTTGAATATACCAAGGTGTGGGTTCAATAGTATTGTACCTGAAATAGCTGGACATCTGAAGTGTTGGCATCTAACTACTTATGACATTTCTCCAGGAAAACCTAAGTAGCCTGGGCAAAAGAAGGGAGTTGTGTTTCATATGTATTTAATAACAAAGAGAGGGGAGGGGCATATACTGATTTAGTATAAAAAAACTAAAGGAAAACCACCATTCAAAGAGCCCATAAGAAGAGTAGAGAATGCAGACAGCTCACTCAAATGCCATCACCCCACCATACCTTCTTACAGCGCCTTCACAGGAAGAATATTTAGGCACATGGCTGGTTCTCTGGCCAGCAAAATATCAGACTACTTATGGGGATTCTTCTATGTTATGACATCAAGGAGACAGTGGGACATGTTACTTTGTCCTTACAGGAACTGGTTATTTATGTAATATTTAACCCTTGTAGTCTGACTCAGAAATGCCTTCTTCAGCTCTAATTTTTTCAAGTGAATTCTGGGAACAAGTTGGATCTAAGTTACTGTCAGTGGCACAACAGACAGAACCATTCAGCACTTTGGGGGAAATGTTCTGGAAAGGTTGATTCCTGATTTTCCTTCTGTGTGGCCCTCTCTGATGTCTGCCGTGTGTGTAAGTATGTGTGTGTAAGCACAATGGGCACCATCATCTAAAATGTCTGTGGTCTACTAGATGAAGAAAATATTAGCTTCACAATGAGGACGGCCTCATTAATACACCCCCTTTAGGTCATCATAAATAGACAATTAAAGTCACAGTTGCCATAGAGAGGTTAACTTAAATAAAAGCCAAACAGGCAGCCTTATGGATAAGAAGTAATACCTCTGCTTTTTTTTTTTCAGGGCCCTCTCCCTGGGAAAGAAGTTATTAATTGTTCATTACTAGGTATCCTATAATCTCTTCACCAGACAGATGGGAGCTATTTGTCTGTGGCTACAATTTTGTCACAGTTTTATTTAATATAATTTCACCATCACCCTTAAGACACTTTTTTTCCTATGTGTATGAAACAAAATTGAATTCTGGGCTTTTTAATGTGATGTGTGTGTATTCATTTAGTTTGCAGTATTTGTCACAGAATATAAAGTAATCTGGCAGAAAACAGCACTTTATCATCCCTGCCATTGTTTCTTCAATGAACTAATTCCATTAAGAAATTCTTCATTATTCCATAGGCATTCTTCTTCAAAAATAAATCTGCATACAAAATAGCTAAGAATTTAGAAGCTTCAAAATACACAGTATTGTGGAAACACATGCAACCCCGCACATTTATATCTACCACAGAATTAAAGGATGTAATTTTTAAAATGGTGTTTGCCTATGGGAGAATGGATAGCTGGACAGTTGGAAGGGAGCCAGGTGATGGTATAACAGGCAGTGTGGGTGTAGAAAGTAAATGGTAAGAGGAAGAGGTAAGAGCTGCACGGAATAGCAAGGAAAATGGAAAATGATAATGGATAGATTCAGTACATCAGAACCATGTCTGAATAGAATGGCTACTTTAAGGGTACAAAACCTTCCAAGCTTTTCTGATGCTAAACATCTTACTGTGTGTTAGCACTTAATGCCCTCTGAGAGTCAAGAAGTCACACTATTTCTGTGTATCAGAGATATTAATAAAACAATGACAGTTATATTCCATTTGAAAAATAAATATTTAAAACCTTCTAATATCTGTATTGTATATTATCTTCTTAAGTAGACTACCCTAGCACAACTTTTCTGCCAGTTTTATTCATCTGTCCTGAATGCTTGTTTCATTCATTGACCTGGGTGTGTGTGTGTGTGTGTGTGTGTGTGTAAGATGTTGGATACATGTCTAAAAAACAAGGCCATGTCTAGATTGCCAGACAGACATTTTTTGTGGTAATATCTTCCTTGTACAAATAAAGCTTGTCTGAAGATTAGAGGATGGAGCTTGCCATCAGTTAACCATAGGGGTCAGGAGGTCTGTACAGATGGACAAGAAGTGAAATAGCTGGGCAGATACAGGAAGTAATATGGCTGGGCTGAGAGAGAATATAAGCAGGCAGAAACAGGAACTTTCTCTCTTTTCAGCTGGGAAGCTAATGAGGCAAAGGTGGCTTTGGCTTGCTCCTTCTTTCTGCTCTCTCAGTATTTTCCTCTATATCTGACTCCAGGCTTTTTTGTTTAGCTCAATTAAGAATTCCATTTACACATTTTATTCCCCCAATGTATATCCAACAATGGGCATAGTTCCATTTGCTTAACTACAGGCCACTCAAGCCTTCCTGCATTTCATGCTCTTGAAGTTTTCTGGAAACTACTTGGACCCTGAAAAAAAAAAAATCACAAACTTATGCTTTGTATTCTTTACTAATTAGAAACTCAGTAGAGAGTTGTTGGTGAAAAAGATCTGTGTTATCAAGCTAAGGAGAAGTGTGGGCATGATAGGGGTCAGCAAAGTTGCCCTGGGGGCTGGCAGGGTGAGACACCAAGCAGCTTAGGGACCCTTCTGTAATGCCATGCTAATCTGTGGTCATCTCTATGGGCTGTTGTCTTCCCATTTAGACAGGGCAGGGTACCCCTATGCATGTTATATATTTCTGAAGCTCAGAGTTGTAGCAAATAGTCAAATCAGAAGAAGCATTTTCTGGGAATCCACATCTTGCTAGGAGAGATGGGAACTCTGGATATGTTACTACATCCAGAAGTTATGAGGCCTTTTAAGTGGCTACTCCTTCAAGCTACCATGTTAGTACCTCTTGCTCTGTTTTACAGCTGTGACTAAGAAATCAACTTAGCAGTTTCATTTAGGGGTTGATTTTGGGCATTAGACTTTGTGTAGATTCTTCCAGTCACTCTTTAAGGCAAAGATTCAGGAGAGATACCATGAGCAGAGGCAGGTTTAGAAGAGGGCTTTGGGCTTTCTGTTATCCCTCATCAGGGCATGGAATTCTTTCTAGCCTGGTACCTGCTTATCAACTTCTCACTGCTTCGTATTTCTCTATGGAGAAGAAATCACAGCTCTTCCATCTGCTCTTGGTAGCTCACTCATAAGCCATGTGTTAAAGCTGTTTTGGACTACAGTGTAGACTTTTGTATAGTAAGAGAACAACACATGGATCAAGCAGTTTATCCTGAAAATGACTGCCATCACTGCAGTTAGGAGTTACAACTACTGTTGTTTACTAGTCTTTTATCATCAGTGTGCTAAGCACACTGCACACATTTCACATAACCTGTGCCACACTAGAAGGCTATAACATAAGGTAAGAAAATGGGCTTACAATGGAGGAAGAATAACCGTGTACCGCAACCAATAGTGGAACTAGAAGGCAAAGCTCCACAATCTCATTCCATGAACTGTATCTCAATAATTATTAGCTAATAACTCTTGGGAAATGGTACTTCCTTTACTTTGAAAGTATTTAGAATGATGTCCTTTCATTTTATAGATGATAATATATGCAAAAGCAATGACAAGGTCTCTCCCGCTAACATTTTCTAAGAAAGGAGACAAAATAAAAGCTGTGAGACAGCCTGTGGGGAAACAACCACATCACATACTTGTAAAATACGATCCCCTTCTCGAATCCGGCCATCCTTGGCAGCAATGCTATTTGGGTCAACCTGTAATAGAGAAAGCATACATCTTCAGGGCCATACGCTATCCTTCTAAGAACTTAGAATGTAGTTTTTAAAAATGTATTATCTTAAGATATTGTAGTTTTAGATTATATTGGCTCAGTTCTCTATTGATTTATGACAGGGTGCATGCCATTTTCTCTGTCATAATCACTAATTCTAAAGCTGTAAACAAATCTCTTTAGAGTTAACAATAATAAAATGGGCTGGGCAGAGCTTCATTTGCAGGCCACTTTTCCACCCCTCTCTGCATCCGTGCCTGCCTTTCCACATCCTTTCTGTCATTTCTGAAGCTCCACTGTCAGTCTTTAGCTGACAGGATGTAATGATGCCATTAACACCAGGATTTTTATGGACCCAGGAACTTTACATTATACAAGGGTGACCTGTAAATAATACTGAAGATGTATTAGGAAAGCTGATAGATATCATAATCCCACACTTACTAAAAGTATTTTGGACCCAAGTGTATTTATTTTTAAAGCTTTTTAGTCTCTATTGTTCAAGAATTAAAAAAAAATTCAAGAATTAAAAAAAAAATCTATCTGTACATTCTGTTACTTAGTGCCACTTTACATATAATGCTAGGTATATCAACTTTGCGTTACCAAGAATATTCCTCTATTGTAACAGGCTAAACTTGAATGAAGGTTTTAAGTTTATTGAGGGTAATTTTAACTATTCAGTTCCTGAGGTAGTTTCAAATCATTTCTAGAGGCTTGTTCCAGCAAAGCTTCTTGTCTGAGTATTTCAAGTACTGCATGCGACTGATTAATTTTCAACATTACTAGGAGGCCCATCTGAAAACTGAGAAAAAGACGAGTCAAACACAGAAGGGCCTACACTCATACTTGGGGGTGGGTATTCAAGCAACGCTTTCCACCTGCACATGTTCTGTTCCTGTGACTTATTTATCACCTCTAAAAAGAGAGGCTTCAATCTGACCGTTTAAATACTAACCAGAATGAAGAGGATCAGATTATTAGTGAATTGTGTCCCTTTTAAAAGTCATCCATCACATGAAGCTTTGTCCTTAAAGCTGTAATCAAACCACTCATAAGACTGCCTGTTTCTGTATACATTGAGGAAAAGGCCTCAGCACATTTTGTGTTTTATTCCTCCATTCCTTCATGATAGGGATCACCAGAGTTGTTCATTTTAAGGTAGCAGCCACATGAAGTACACTCTGGAGAATTTTCCATGTGAGTGGGAGGCAGCAAAATCTTTGAAGTGATTAAAAAAAAAATACTGTTCTATATTTTCAGAGTTGTGATGCTGTCCAAGTGTGTTAATTGCAGATCTCTTGTAGTTTAAGCAACTCGGTAGATAACTGTTGGAATTTGTTAGGAACTGTTTTATCCATCAAAGCTCAGGCTCCAGAGAACATTAGCATCTAGTTTGTCTAACTATTACATACATTTTTTGAGAACTAAGCTATGGAATATGTACAACTTTGCATATGGCTATATTCATAGTGTTAAACCATAGCATTATGCTTCGTCTAGAATGAGCTGCTATTCCTGAGATCTATTGTAATAAATTCTGCTTGGTGGTCTTTCAAGCTAACACTAAAATGGTGACTCAAATGAAATTCTTTGCCTCCTGAAAATTATTGTGCAGCTGAATCAAAGAAACAGAGAGATGTACTTCTTCGGTATTTAATCTATCCACCCCAACCACAGAGTAAAAGAGGTGATTATTATGACTGTTTAAAATAATTACCCAATACTGCTGTTAACAAAGTATAAAAGATGCAATGGGATGGAAGGACAAATGTTTGGGGACCAGAGCTCAGCTCAGCCTGCTGCTCTCTTATGGGATCTTACAGGGAATTTATTCAAATTTAGACAATGTTACCACTTTCACACTTTTCCTTGCTGGGATTCTGCAGGGAAAACCTCCACGCTAAACAAGCTGATGATAATTGCATTACTTGGGTAGCATAATTTGCTTCCCTAATTGAAAGTGGCAAGAATTGGAAGGCAGCCAGTTCTTCACATTCAGGCTTTGCAAAGAGGCCATTCTTGTCCTGAGCCCTTTGAAGTCATCCCTCCCTCCCTGCAGGTCCTCTCCACAGCATCTCTCACCTCGCCGACATAAATGCCCATGTCTTCCTCATCATCAGTTCGGTAGCAGACTGTCAGGCCCAGCTTTTCTTGGCTGCTAACACGACACAGCTCAACCTCCTGTGAGAATGGCATGCATATTGAGACATTAATCTCAGGGGGAAACTCAAAGATGCAGTTCCCGTCACTGTGAGAAGTTTTAAACATTGTTGCTTAACATTTGAACTGAACTTTTGTAACCCAAATCATTGAGATTGACTTTTTATAAAGTATTTCTGTTGTAGTCAAATTTTCATATTGCAGTTGGAAATATACAGAATCACATGAATTCGTACATAAAACTGCATAGATTATTAAGTTGAAATAATATAGTATTTGAGAATATCAAAGAAGGTAGAAAAAGCTCCTCAAACATTGTTGCTGTATTTTTCTTTCTAATGTAATAAAAAGGCATAAGTTTGAACAGAAAAAGGACTATTTTACGGATTTATGTCAGGTCTTCCTCGAATTTGTTACAGTGTGAAAAGAAGCAAGGGTTTGTGTAGGGAAGGTTAAGGTTTTCTATTATTCTATTATTCCACAGAAACCCTCAGCCTTGGAAAGAAATGGGTTCACTGGCAGAAGGGCAAGACATATCAGCCACCATATGGGTCAGAAGGGATGGTGCAGAATGCAGCAATGATTGAACAAGAAAGTACATTCACTGACATGCACTGCTAAGGGGCTGCGAATATCAGCCTCAGGTAATGTATACTGAATCTATTTCTTGATTTATGTTCAGAAAAATAAAAAATATCGGTTTCATATAATGAAATGGGCTTGTGCCACTCTCTGACACAAACTAGGATAAATCACACAATTCCAAGTGTTAAAAGACAAATTGCAGCTACAATCTTGGGAAACTTGTTCCTATTGTTGAGAATGGTAGACCTATTTCGAAATCATCAGAGGAAGGGAGAAGGGTGCACTTTGGAGGAGAAGCCTAGAGCAAGGCTCTTGAGTTCAGCCTTGTGGAGCTGTGTGTTTGTCAGTCCTGTGAATGTCCCTTTCTTCATTGCCTAAAAAAGCAGATGTTCATCATTGGGGACTCAGCTACTACCAGGAAGGATGTCATAATTTTTCCCTTATCTTTCCAGGTCTATGTAATGTTTTGTAAAACCAAGCCATTATTAAGAAGTCTTTCCTCTTTGATGGGAAATGTGTGTGTGTGTGTGTGTGTGTGTGTGTGTGTGTGTATGGGTGTATAAAATGATTATGAAGTCTAGTGAGCATATATGCCTGTTTTTTCCCAATTGAATGTTGAAATCCTAACACTCAAGGTGATTTTATGAGGAGGTAGGGCCTTGGGAAGGTACTTATGTCATGAGTGGTAACACCATGGGTGCAATTAGTGCTCTAATGAAAGGGACAGTTGTCCTGAAGCATGCAGACCTCAAGGAGAAGGTACCCTTGGAGAGGATGTGAGCTTTATGAGACACCAAATTGCTTCTGTTTTGATCTTGAACATTCCACCTCTAGCACTGAGAAAGGTTTCTGAACTTTGAGTCACTGTTTGCTACCGTAAATAGAAGGAGAAGACAGCAGGTCTCAGCCTAGCTATCCAAGAACTGAAATAGCAGTGCTAAATAAAGTTCACCTGGCTACTAGCAAGAGGGTGTTCTCTACAGCATTCTGTAACACTTAGAATTGAAGGGAGGGGCCTTCTCCATCAGAGATGCTCTTGTCATTGAGCAATAACCGTTTGTTTAAACGATGTGTTGTAAATCCTTAATGAGAACACTTGCTATCATAAACTTCAATGGCCAATAATTTCATAGCCAACAGCAAATAAAACAAAATCAAGTCCTTTACCCCCAGACAAGTGTTGCAAATTAGAGGAAACTGAAACTGCAGCGTGTAATTGTGCAGAAGCACTGTAAGTTGTATCTGCTTCTGAAAGCCAGATGAATGAAAGCACCCACAGACATGCCAAACTGGATGGGAAAAAAGCCCATGAAGCCTCAACCACACAGAGAAGTATAGGCAACTGGAGACATGGTCCTTCCCTGGAAAAAAACACACCAACTTGTCGTTCACTGCCAAACAGTCAGCCTTGAAAACATATGCAGCTGGGAGTGGTGGTGCACACCTTTATTCCTAGCACTCAGGAAGCAGAGGCAGGTGGGTCTCCATGAGTTCGAGCCCGCTTAGTCTACAGAGTGAGTTCCAGGATGGCCAGAGCTTTATGGTGGCACACAGTCTCAAGAAAACCAAATGGAAAACAAGTAATACGTGGAACATTAAATACAATGGGTTATGTTTTGGGATATAATTATATAATATACAAATACATATATATGCATGTAATCACAATGAAAAGGAAGCCATGAAGTTGAAGGAGAACAAAGAGAGATAGGCCTGAGCATTTGAAGGGAGGAAAGAGAAGGAAGAAACATGGTAACTGAATAATTTCAATTCAATTTCAAAAATAAACAACAAACCAACCAGGCTGTCTGGTAAGCAGAGAAAGATGGAAAATCCATTAAGCTCAGAAGAATAGGAAGCATTTCTCAGTTTGTCACCTGAAGGAGAAATGCATACACTAGGCAAGGGTCTCCTCCCAACTGACAGTGGTTTGTAGCTCCAGAGGCTGAGAGTCCCTAACTAAACTTGTATTTCTGGCAGGAGTCACAGCCACAGAGCCGTGTCTTACAGCGACAGTGGAGTGAGCAAAGAAGCCTGCTGAGGAAACCTGAATACACTACCAAGAGCTGCCTTCAGCTTAAATCAGGCCATCAGAGGTCCTTCACAAGGACTTCCACTGTCTGGTCAAAAGGGAGGAAAGATGTCCCATTCTGGGGAAGGCATTTGCATAGGGTGTACTGGTCAGGGTTTGCTCAGAATTCTCAGAGTTACCTGTTCACTTTGGGGTTTGTCTACAAGAGGCCTATCAGCCGCTGTGCAATAGGATTGAATGAATCTATTAACAGAAGATCACTGGGACTACACACACAGTATCAGTGCCCCAAAACATCAAAGTAGCTACCCAATAAATAAAGGAAAAACATTAAGATGGTGAGGTAAAACAGTATTTCAATCTTTTTATACTATAAAATCTATCTGAGCTGGGTGGTGGTGGCTTACACCTTTAATCCCAGTACTTGGGAGGCAGAGGCAGGTAGATCTTTGTTGAGTTTGAGGCCAGCCTGGTCTACACAACAGCTGGGCTACACAGAGAGATCCTGTCTTGGAAAAACAAAATGAAACAAACAAAACCTATGTGAAATGGGCATTGATATTGTCTAGTTTAGGGTTTCAGTACACCACTTTGAGATGGCCCACAACCTCTAGCTGTGTCTGTCTTTCTGCACAGGTGTTTTAGGTTTCCTATTTAACTACCCCACCAGCAAAATCTGGCCTTTGGTGTGAACTTCTGTGGAATTCATGTGGTGTAATGGTACAATTTTATGAAAATTATCTCTTGGTCTCTAAAAGTTTGAACTTCAACCACTGACTTGTACTTGCTGGGGGGATGGAGGGTGAGAGTGTGGGGAAAGGTGACTGGAATTAGGGAGCATTTGGGAGTGATGGAGAAACCTAGTGCAGTATGAAAGTGATGCTGGTGAAGTCTCATAGTAAAGGGGGATACAGAGCCCAAATTGGCTATCTTCTGTAACTGCAAGGCTCCTAGCAGTAAGACTGGGACATCAACCCAGCCACAAAACCTTTGACCTACAATATGTCCCAAACAAGATGTGTTGGGGTAAAGATGGCAGCCCAATGACTAGACTAACTTGAGGCACACACCATGAGAGAGAGCCCACACCTGATACACAAGGATGGCTAGGAACCACAGGGGTCAAGGACACCATGACAATATGCTCCCCAAAATCAACTATGCAGGATAATAGGAGCTCATAGAGCCTGAAGCAACCATCATGGTGCCCTTATGGATCTCAGCTAGGTCCTTTGCATATATGTTATGGGTGTATAGTATTCTTGTGGGACTCCTAACAATGGGAGTGTATATGTTATGGGTGTATAGTATTCTTGTGGGACTCCTAACAATGGGAGTATGGGGTATCTATGATGGTTTTGCCTGACTTGGGACCCATTCCCTCCTATTGGGTCACCTTGTCCAGTCTTGGTATGAGGGCTTGTGCCTGTGTAAGGATTCGGGAATTATGCTGGCCTGTCCCTGTCACCTAACAGAATGCACCCAGGTTAGCCCAGGTGCAAAGGACCCCTTTAAAAGAAAAACCTCCACCCACTTATACTCTCTTCCCTTTCCTGCTCTTCCCCTGGAGCAGACAGGACTTTTCCTGTCTCCTCCTTCTCTTCTGCTCTCTCTTGTCTGTCTCATCACCTCTTTTCTCTTTCCTTCCTCCTCACTACCCTAATAAATTTGTCCTTCTGCTTCAGTCACATTCTTCCTGCCATAGAACACCAAGGTCCCCCTCACACTTTACCATACCATCCTGGCCTTACTGTAATTTGTTATATTTGGTTGATATCCCTGGGAGGCCTGCTCTTTTTTTGAAGGGAAACAAAGGTGATGGGAGATGTAATTCTGCATATGTTTCTCTTATTGATTGATGAATAAAACACTGTGTGGCCAGTGGCCTGGCAGGAAGGATAGGTAGGGCTACCAGATAAAGAGAATCTTGGGAGGTGTAGGCAGAGAGGAGTCTTCATGTGAGCCTGGGAAGAGAGGATGCAAGTCAGGCTTTCTCTGGTAAGATAAGACCATGTAGAAAAACATAGATTAGTAGTTACAGGTTAATAATTACGACAGAGCTAGCCAATAAGAAGCCCAAGTCTTTGGCCTATAGTTTCGTAATTAATATCACATCTGTGTGTTCATTTGGGGCTCTCAAGGGCATCAGGACCTTGCAGGGACAAAGATCCTTCTATAACACAGAGGAGGATCTGGGGGAGGGACTTGGAGGAATGGATGTAGGGGAAATAGTATGTGAAAAATAAAAATTAAAAAAAACATACAAAAAAAAGAACATATTTAAATAGATATCCTACAGTGTCCTCAGCCTGTTTAAAGTTAACCTTCCTTTGAGAGAACCATGTAGCAACCAGCCATATTATGCCTTGGATTGCCTATACAATCAGCTTTTCCAATCTAAGCT